GGAATGCTAGGAAGTAAACATGCAAGTTTGATCATAGGTTTTGGTGTATTTATTTTCTTTTAATTAAAAGAAAGCAAATCTAACTGCAGAAAATGGTTACGTGTGAGACATTCAGTTTTCCTCTCTTTTCTTCTTTTCTTTGAAAAAAGTTTTTCAACAAACCCCACAGTGTTTCACAAAACATTTGAACAATAACTGTTTAGAATCTAGTGTCTTAGTACTGTGGTTAGTTATTTAAACTGCATATATCTAATTGTGAAAAAAATGCTTTCAAATGTAAAAGAACCTATTTGCATGGTATTTCCTCGATTTTATAATTAGCCAGTATTTACTGGATCAAATTAATTGATGGGCTACTGCAAAAAGGTAGCCTGTCTATAGACACAAGGTGGTGAAATTAATATATGACCAGTAATAGTTTTCATTTGCAGATTTGGGGCTGCAAAAATTGTATAAAAACTAGTTTTATTAATGCAGCTCTATGTTCCTTCTGCTATGTAAATTTCTGGACTTCAAAATTTCTCATCTGAGGTAGCAAAAGATACCACATCTTAGGGGAAATAAACATATTTTAGAAGAAAATGCTGGGTCACTATGTCCCTGTAAGCACACAAAGAAACAAGAATAATTATAACCATTCAACATGGTAGTGCTCTTTCTTGTACCATTAAGAAATTCTTTGAACTGTTCTTCAAGAGCTAACCTGTAGTATCCCTAACGAAATCCCTCCAAATCAGTCTCCAAAGTCATAGGAAGTTGAAAACACATTAATTTTTAAGTATACCAAGGAGTCCAGACTCTCTTTTTTGGAAATGTCCAAGAGATACACCTAGAAATAAATGTTGCAAAGAACTTCTTAATCAGGTATAATGATCTTGTATTTAGCATATGAAACTCAGTGACCTGTACAGAACAGCAGCTATTACAAAAAGCTACCCGAATGCAGCTTTCCCTTTCAGAGTCCCGATGATTCCAGTACATTCCTGGAGTTGTTCATTACCCTTGGGGAGTTAAAAATCTGTTTTGGCACCCTTTCCCCCAGGCTGTCCTTTATTCTCTTTACAGAGGTCCTTGCTCACTGAAAAACTATTCTACATTATAAAAAGCAATTTGTGCCATCCTTTCTGGTTGTTTGCCTTTAATATTTTTTGTATTTCAGTCTCTCTGGTGGCACTTGGGACAGGACTTATTAAAAGGCTTGGGCACAGTCCTTCTGTTGAAGCTAGATCTGGTGCAAGTATATAGTGCCTTGCTGGCACTTTTCAGAGGTGTTCCAGCTATGAAATTGATCCGTACAGTCATAAATATGATTTCTGAACAAAAAAACAGTGGAGTTTAAGCTGTTCTGCTAGGGTCATCAATATACAGGCAACAAGTGTAAAATGGCAAGGTGCCTACATTGTTGTGGGTTTATCTTACTTTTTTTTTAACTGACACATTTTTTTCCAACCCTGAATCTTACTAGTAATGCAGAATAGAATATTGCAAATAATTAATAGAATTTTATTTCCAAAATCTCTTTTGTGTCCAAATGTATTCAGATTGCATATATCTAGGTGTATATCATTACTATTAATGCTATATAAACACTTAAATCTTGTGCTCAGGGCGTTTATGGTCCAAATAGATGACATAAAGGGGAAAAGGATGCTTTACCCCCATATTACAGTAATAACTCCCATTATTATTCCCTTGTGGATGGAGAAATAAGAGTTGAAAAATTGAAATTCTGAAGTCTTTTCAAGATTTTGAAAATGTTTATAGTCTTCTAAAATATTTGTTCTGGTTCTGTATTATTTTTGTGTGATAAAACTTTAGGGAATTAATGCATCAAACGCAAAGCACAACAAATACACGTATGTCTGCTAACAGGCAGTCTATTTTTGAAGAATGTTTGTGCACCTTATCATGATGGAAGATGAAAGACCAGAGGCCAAAGGTAACAGAGAATCTTTATACAACTTGGGAGAAGTATAATTATGTGGAATCTAATACACTAATAATTTTGAAAATAAAATAAAAATACAAGAAATCTGAAAGAAAATTACTTATAACTGACTTGTCTAGAACTAGCATGGTGAGATATTATTACACTAAAATTGCTAAATATCCTACAAACTTGCAATAGGAAAAGACAAATTTTGTATAGCAAAGTGTAAATAAAATTAACATTTTCTAATCTTTGCTCAGAGGTTTTTACTTCATTCTGACTCTTAAGTTCCTTATCGATGAAAAGACACAGCTAAAATTACATGAAGATAAATTAAGTTTCCCTGATCTTCATTGCTGAAGCATGTTTGGAAACCCTGATGTACAGACAGAATTCATAAGCAGAACAATACATTTTTGCTTACTCCTGTCTGTACGCTCCCATACAATCATTGTACAGTTACAAACTATAAAAAAAATTGCAGTTTTAAACAAAATTTTTGATGTCTTAAAAATGCTGACTGCCTAAGTATTTGTCTACATCCTGTGATTATCTCAGAAAATGTCCCGTAAGCTTTATTGCAAACTTGTAGAGCCTGGCAACCTGAACCATAGTTCTAGTTTGCTAGAATGAAAATGTTCTTTTAATGGCTTTCTGCA